ACGTCCTTTGTACTTATGACCTACTTGGCAACTGTACTTAGACCCACGGTATACGTATATATATATATATATGGTAAACACAATTGTAACTAGGCTATATGTACAGCCACTAGGTAGCCCTAAAATCTAACCCGCAATGATAGCTTCGTTGTCAAGTTCATTTTCCCTGGTCTTTTCCATTCGACTCTCCATCATGGTGCTATAAACCCTATACAGCCCCATATAACCCCTTATACGTTAGGAGGACATCCAAGTAAGTATATAAACAACTCCGAAGACTTTTGCAGGGTTTTGGGGTTAGGGGTTTGCCAGAACCCAGGAAAAAAGGTGTCAAACGTTTAGGGTTTTGGGTCTAACCCTAAACCCTAAACCCTACAGGGTTTTGGGTCTAGGGTTGCCCAACACCCATAAGAAAGAGTCAAATCTGGTGCTTTCCTCCATGATTTTGACGTAATAAGAAATATGTGGGTAGTTCCCAACATTAGGCTCTCATTTTGGTACCCCTAAATATTCGGTGCCGTAATATATTATATGCCCAAAAGGGGCCCATAATTTTGAGAACAACACATATGTGTCTTTATCGCGGTAAAAAAATCAGCACTACTTGCTGCACGGTTTGGGCTGAAGGTCCCTGACAACCCCACACCCCACTGCCGAGTCCTTGTTGACTCTGTCGCCTCTTCCTCTCCTGGGGATGGGTTCAGTGCAAACTCTACACCGTAAACCTTAGGTCAATCCCCCCTATAGTAATGGCTCCTTAACATGGACTTAATAAGGCCTTAATGTACCTACAATAGTCCCTTGTGGTACCCATTACTGGGTGGGGGATTGACCCACCGTAAACCCTGGTTTAGTGTTTAGGTTTTTGCGTTCAGGCCTTTGGAGAGCAGTTAACCTAGACCCTCCCCCTACCGTCTATTAGGGCCTAAGCACCCACTATTAGGGACCATATCTCCCCAATCAAGGGTACAAGGAGGGTCCTGGAAGTTATTTTGCAAATCTGGTTGTCTGGCATAACCGGGTGAACCTTGAACCCATCGCGTAACGGACAAAGGCATGAGCATGCAGGGCTTCGGGTTTCTACGTGGCACTTAGGACCCCTATTAAGTGTTAACCCTTAGGTACTTATAATAGGAATATAAGGGAATCTCAAAGGGTTAAGGGTCTAAGGTCCAAGCTAAGTCGCAAGGAGGTTTAGGGCTGTTGGATTTCCGGATGTGTGCCGAATAGGTTGGTCTCTGTACTTTCTTTTACATTTTGAGGCTACCCGGGGCTACCCTTGGTACACATCTCTTCGCCACTGAATGATGTTTAAGGGGCCGGGCAAATAATGATCCAGTACTTGCAAACTTCAAAGATCCAAGGGTCACTTGGACCCTTAACAAATGTACAGGTGCCAAAGTCTTAGGTACAACATCTCCTTTTTCTGGGTACACATTGGTTATCTGATTTCGTTCAGCCGTCGCACTGCGCCGTGCCTGGAGGCAAGCTGAAATACGGGTGGTACATTAACCCCCCCCCAGTTGCCTGGGAACGGCTGCCTATAAACAACAATGAGGGAGATTTAACCCGCGGAAAAGTGCCTCCAAAGCGAAGAAGGGTTTGGTAGTTTCCCAAAATCAGGCGACCCCAATATGAACCCCAATATACTAGGATCATGATTTCCCCAAAATTGCACCCCTGATTTGAGGAAACCCCCATTTGTACCTAGAGGAACCTACGTAAAAAGAAGTACAGATACCACCATACTCGGTGCAAGACCATTTCTATGGCTACATTGGCTACCCTTGGAAAAATGGAACAACGATCGGACGCCTGATCGACGGTAGAGTCCCCAGTAGAAACTCGAAGGCAGCCGATTGGGTCTGCTTGGAGGTCCATTGTACTTATAACCTACTTAGTAACTGTAGTTATAACCCAAATATATCTAGGGTAACTATAATTATGGAACTTATACTTAGGTTATAACTGCAGTTACTAAGTAGGTTATAAGTACAATGGACCTCCAAGTGGAGGCTACAGATAGCCAGCTGCTGTGACCCCAGAAGCCTGAACCCCAAACACCGAAATCCTAATGCAAGGGCTTAGGGTTGAGAATAAAGGGTTTAGGATTTAGGGTTTAAGGTTTAGGCCCAAAACCCCCCCCAAATCCCTAAAGCCTAAACCCTAAAACCCTAAAACCTTCAACCCCTAAACCCCATACCCCTAAATCCTAATGCAAGGGCTTAGGGTTTAGAACATAGGGTTTAGAATTTAGGGTTTAAGTTTTAGGCTTTAGGCCCTAAACCCTCAAGCTTAATCGTAGAATAAAGCAAGTCGAAACTGAAGAACTTTCACTAGGACTGCGGAAAACCCCGTCCTTCTGCTTTGTTTCAAGTTCGTCCATCTCCTGCTTTTTGGGGCAGGTTGAGGCCAAGCGTCGGGTTTAGGGTTGAAGGTTTGGGGGTTTTGCGGGTACTTACACTTCGCAATTCTGCTCGGAAAGCTGAGACTCCGTGATCTCAATGATTGCGCTCGAATTGTATGGCTGCTTTAGAATTCCGCAGTGTGCCATGCTAGATTCACAGGTGTCATGCCACACCTACAAAGGAACCAGATCGTAAGAAACCACTCCGTCATAGCTGAAATCGAAGTCTGGTGCAGACTCGCAGTATAGATTTACTGCTCTCTAAGCGCAGAGGTTCCCTGCCATGCGCGGTAGGTAGCAACACAAGACAAGCGCTCAAGTTCTACTGGGTCATACCCGCAAATGCTGAATGAAATCTCCGAATCATAGTATTGAATTTGCCCTAAAACTTGAACATAACTAAATCGCCCCCTACTAATGCACAGTTTCCACTTCATTTTCTGCTTCTGCATGGTGCAGCACTTTAGCAGCAATTTAACACCTAAACCCTAGATCCTAAACCCTAAACCCTAAACCCTAAATCCTAAACCTTAAACCTTCGCATCCCTTCGCCCTAAACCCCAAATCCTATGACCTAAAGCCTAAAATCTGAAGTCTGGGGTCCAAGGGCCCCTCCATGGATGACTGGAGGGCTCATCCCTAGGGGCTTCAAGTAATGGTAGAACCAATTCAGGGAACTGTAGGGGTTTAGGGTTTAGGGTCTAGAGATTTGGGGTTTAGGGTGTAGGGTCTAGAGATTTGGGGTTTAGGGTTTAGAGATTTGGGGTTTAGGGTTGATTGCATTTAGACTGTGAAACTTCCGCCTGGGCATAACAGGGCTTGAAAAAGGGGGTGCTCTGCAAGTCAACGGGCAAAGACAGCTTTGCTGTCCTCTCTACGTGGCAATTAGGACCCCTACTAAGGGTTAACCCTTAGGTACCTTAAATAGGAATATAAGAGAATCTCAAAGGGTTAAGGGTCTAAGGTCCAAGCTAAGTCCCAAGGAGTGTTAAGGATTTTCGAATCCCATGTTGAACCGGAATCATGCCTCCCTGCGATCTTCGTCCTAGGAACACACTACTAAATCTGGTGATAGTGCTCGGGAACATATTGCTAGCAACAGCTCCCTCACACATTGGGAGGCCCTGCAATCCATCTTGCCAATTCGGATGTCAGTCCGCTCACAGAAGCAGAGGGAATCTTTGAAGAGTTCGAGAGGCTCGCCGCAAGTTCGGCGCGTCTTGTGCCATTTGCACTCTGCCAATCGCAAGTGCAAAGGCATACAAGAAAAAGAAAATCTAGAATCTATTTGAAAATCGACCCCTGTGGCATAGCACACTGTACGGGCCGACATAAGTCAAACAAAGACTTGACCTGCCAAGGGGCTCTGGACTGTGCAATTATGGTCTCGTGCGCCGGGAAGCAGGCCAGCTTCTGTTACACACTTAGTACTTGGAGGTCCATTGTACTTATAACCTACTTAGTAACTGTAGTTATAACCTAAATATAAGTTCCATAACTACAGTTACCCTAGATATAATTGGGTTATAACTACAGTTACTAAGTAGGTTATAAGTACAATGAACCTCCAAGTATAAAAGGGCGCGTCAGCAGCATAGCCGGGAAAGCAGCAAGGCTGCTGGGCGTGACTGGGCGGCACGGCAAACTCGTGGGTAAGAGACGTCTCCGCATGGTTGCAAGAGTCTGTCTCATTGAACACGAACTGCCAGGAAGCCTTCCCTATCCATTCCTTTAGCCACTGAACCTGGAAGGTGTACTCTTCGCTGGTACTCCGCTCCTCAGGCTGCCGACATCCCGCTGGAAAGTAAGACAGGATTCTTCATGCAGAGTGGCTGCATATGAGGAACCTACAACCTCACTCTAAGGTTTAGGGTTTAGGGGTTTAGGGTTTATGTATCTTGGGCCACCGAGAATCGTGGCTGTATGCTGTAGCTGCCTTTCCTGCGATCTCAGAACTGACGGATGCGGTCGCGCCCCAAGCGCTCCGCTATTAAATTCGCCTCCACTGTCGCCGTCACAGACCACGACCACTCCTCGGCTGTTAGGGATTATAGGGTTTAGGGATTCTAGGGTTTAGGGATTCTAGGGTTTAGGGATACAGGGTTTAGGGATTATAGGGTTTAGGGATTATAGGGTTTCAGGAGGTTTAGGGATTCTAAAGTTTAGGCATTATAGGGTTTCGGGATTTTAGGGTTTAGGGACTATAGGGTTTAAGGATTATAGGGTTTAGGGATTATAGGGTTTAGGGATTATGGGGTTTAGGAATTCTAGGGCTTAGGGATTACAAAGTTTAGGGATTAAAAAGCTTAGGAATTATTTGGTTTAGGGACTATTTGGTTGAAGGATTATAGGGTTTAGGGATTATTATGGGGTTTATGGATTCTGGGGTTTAGGGATTATAGGCTTTAGGGACTATTGGGTTTAAGGATTATAGGGTTTAGGGATTCTAGGGTTTAGGGATTATAGGGTTTAGGGTTTAGGGGGATAATGGAAAATAGAATGGAAACTATGTAGGTTTGATATATTTCTATCTTGTTCTCGCTACAGCTATGTCGTATTCAAGTAGCTGAAAACCATTAAGCAGCCCAGAATCGTCAGTCTTGGACTCGGAGTACTTCTTCGCTGTTCCTTCCTTCCACGTCTCTGTCACTGCACCTACAATGGTGTAGCGATAGTTCCAGAAACCTGTGGCCGTTTTGCCCTTGCACTCCACGGCCGGCAGAGCTGGACAATTGCCGTCTTTACGGTCATGCAGGCTGACCTTTGTGGAATTCAAGGTTAGGGTTTAGGGTTCAGGGCTTACGGTCAAGAATGATCGCAAGCTGGGATGGCATCTTTAGTCAGACGCTCAAGTTTCAGAAAAGTCAAGAGCCCTTCCAACCTTCTTGAAGTCAGGGTCCACCACAACGTACCAGGAACCCGGATTCTGTCCCAGGAATTCCTGGTTGGACCAGTCGCAATTGAAAGCACCTCAGGGTTTCAAGGTTTGGCATGTGAGAGACTCGGGCCTATAGGGCTTCACTTCAGACCCGGCGATCACTACGTGGCACTTAGGACCCCTGCTAAGGGTTATCCCTAAGGTACCTATAATAGGAATATCAGAGAATCTCGAAGGGTGTTAAGGGTCTAAGGTCCGAGCTAAGTCCCATGGAGATCAAAGGCGTCCCAGTCGGAAGTCAATTTCCAACCCCATATGAGTGGTTGTCGAAATTATGGTCCCTTTTTGGGTACCCTAAATATTGGGTGCCGTATTATAATAGGGATCCAAAAAGGGGCCATAAATTTGACAACCACCCATATCTCTTTCACCTGACAAGCCCATCATTCTGATTATTGATGTCTTCTGGCCTGATACTCTTCCATCGGAGACCCAAATGCAGTAATGGCTCCTTACTGGCGTCCAAGGCGAAGGCGTACAGTATAGGGTTGCCCATCGAATCCGTAAGGTTTGGGATTAACCAGCATAGATAATCCCCAGACAACCCCGACTAGAGTATGGGCAACCCTAAACCCTAAACCCCTAAACCCTAAACCCCTAAACCCTAAACCCTAAAAACCCTAGACCCTAGAC